CTTTCTCTCTCTCTCTCCCCCCCCCTTCCCTACCTGTAAATAAGTAAGCGCGTAAACTCGTAGATAAAGAACTACGTCTTTGATAGAATATTTAAGGTTTAATAGCTATTATTAGTATTAGGAAAAGTACGTGTTAGGGAAGGGTTTGTACCCTGGGATAGCCCGCGTGAGTATCTAGTATTTCCTAACGTAGTTACTAGAGGGTTTATATTCTTAGACTCTATAGTACCTTTTAGAGGAGTTTAGGGTTTAGGTAAAAGGGAGGGGGAAAGATAGGAAGTAAGTTACTATAAGTAAGGTAGGAAAGTTAGAGGGAAGATGGAAAGGGGGTAAGAAAGTAAGAGAGAGTAAGAAAGTAAACTAAGAGAGAGGAGGGACTCTAGAATAAGAAAGTATTAGTAAGAGTAAATAACAAGTAAGTAGCTAAGTAAATATTAGCTAACGTACTTTCCTAAAATATCAGGTTTATAATAATTAGAAAAGTATAATAATACTTTAACCTCTGGATACCTCTTATACCGTAAGATACCTATGATATAGAAGGTTGAATAATCCGACTTTGGGAATCTTTTGGAGCTTGTATGATTGATTTTATGAATGAGAAAGATTGCATGATATATAAAGTGATGAATTACTCCCTAAACGCCATCTCTGGGGTATCTCTATAGTAAATATTAGTATCCCATCCAATCCCAAATTTCCAATAAAAAGCCTTTGTATGTACACCAAATCCTACATGGCTCAAGAATCATGCCACAGCCAATCTGGGTACCCAGACTATTCAGGCCATGACTCCCTACCAGTATAATGTAACAAATCCATCACAGGGTCCTTCATGAAATACTTATGTGGACAAACGCCATCACAGCACCTAGAAAAATCTCCTCGCACTACCTCCACCCCGGTCCCAGAACTATGCAGCGTATATCCATTCATGACTGGTAACCCTCTTTCCATTTTTTCGGCGAAGGTTTCTACCTCCTCTCTGAAGGAGTCTTCATTCTCTTGTCGGATCTTTTCCATCTGTTCCTTGCCGTAGACGATTGCTTTGGTCAGCCAGATGGTATGACGTCGTTCCAGCAACATCAGAATTGCGGGCTCGCTGTTATCGGGTGTCTCTTCTCCTCCGAAGTTTCCGTCTAAGAAGAGTTTGGAGAGGGACAGATGCTCGCGCATGATTTCGAAGACGGATGACCATTTTGAGGTCGCTTCGTGGAGCCATATGGATGAGAGGTTGAGGACTCGAAGGGTGCGCGAATGGTTTATTAGGAAGGATGAAATGGCCTTGACGTGACAGGTGACATCTTCTAGACGTAAAGTATGGAGTTTAGGCCAATGCCTGTTGGACAGAGTGTTTGAAAATAGGACTGGATAACGATATTCTCTCTCCTGATGCACTAGATAGTGATTGCGAGTAGGCCGGCCAAATCTCAAATCCAAAGTCTCCAAGAGCGGCGTCACCGATAACAGTGCCCCTAGATTCCTATGTCGTTGACAAGACTCTTCCGGTATATCAGCCGCATCAAGGTCCTCCGCAAAATGGATCTGTAACGTTCGCAGACCAAACCAGACCGTGTATTCGGGATTGGATCGAGTCTGGGAATCCAATGCGTAATCAAAGAACTGCCATCCCAATTTCTTGATCTTGAAATGTTTCAATTGTACACCGTGGTCGCCAGCAGTCGCTAAGCCAGACAATAGTCCCATCATAGGCCGAACAGAAGACTCATCACAGTGGTCCACTCGTCCATCTGTGAAATGTGCGGGGATGGCCATGGTGTCCTCATATTCTCTCTCCAACCAAGGACTCTTCTTCGCATTCGGTCGCCCCTTCATCACAACCTGTTCCAAGACCGGGAACTTTGCGAGCGCACTCTTGAAGATGGCGTAATCTTGACTGCGTTCGAGAAAATGCGATTGCTCCACCAGCTTCCTATCGTAAACCCTCCACGTTCCTTGTAATCGCTTCGTCGTGCTAGCCTGCTCCCTGATACTCCCGTTCTTACATCCTACCCCGATCTTGGATGTCCCAAAGCGAATATATCTATCACGATCCCAGTCTGAGAAATAATCTTGCAATTGGCCCATCCATCCCTCCTTGTCGATCTCACTCAGCATCATTGGTTCGTACACAATCTTCCTTACATATCTCCGTAGCTGATCGTTTCTCGATATGGCATGGAGATTGGCGAAGGATTTGTGCGTGAGCATGACATGTAGTTCCTTGACCAGATGGCGTTGGGAGAATTCGGCGAAGGCTTTGCAGGTCAGTCTGAAGTGGCCTAGGTCGTGTAATGGGAGGATGCTGCATATTTGGTGGAGGATCTCTGGAGGAAGCTTGTGGATTGAGATGGTCGGTTCTGGTGGAGGGTGCTTGCGAGGAGGCATTGTGTGGTTGAGTTGTGTTTCTGGTGTTGATTGTGGTTTCTTGATGGTAGGTGGAGGGGCTTACAGATAAGGTAGACGCGAATTTGAGGATGACGCGACATCATGTTATCGGTGCTTATCGCTCGCTTATAGGCAGTCCGCGCCGTCGCTTAAGGTCGGCTGAAGCAAGTGATAGGTAGGAACGGCGTATACACTACAATAGCGATACTAGTTAGCCTCGGAGTATATATAAATCAAATCCTTATAAGTTGATATAGAAAACCTTGTAGTGAAACTTATAACCAGCTAATTAGATAATCAATATTTTTCGAATTAAATTCTTACTATTTAGATTCCCTAGCCTTATTTCTAAAAAAAATAAAAATAAAAAGAAACACGAAATCTAATTAATTCTCTAATTAGTTGGGTATGCATCTTACTATGAACAAAAACTAGATTACACTATAAAGCTTTAATTCTTATATACTCCGAGGCTAATTAATAGTCGGGCGATACTATAAGCTTCTACCGATATAGAAGCTCAAAAAAAGCCTTGATTAGTTCTATGACATGTTACTCTACCAACTGAATGTGACCATAGCGTGTTTAAAAAATCTTGTTAGACAATAAAGGAGATACAGTGGTCAATTTTTGTAAGGTCTAGTATGTGCGTCCCCTACAAAACCTCAAGCGAGAGCGTAGAGAAATGATGGGCAAACAATTACTCGTACACCTTGCCAAATCAGTCTCTTGTGCCTCTATTAGCCCAACTTTCAAGTAGAGGACCTATATTTATATTTATTTGCTGGACGCCAGGAATATCAGATTTGAAAATACGCGAAGAGGAATACTGTTGCAGCAGTGACTGATCAAAATTAGACGCTTCTTTCCATACTTTACAGTAGCAACTTGGGATCACCAAATATAGCCAGAACCACTCTATAACTTTCTCATTATATCGTTGAATGAATACAAACAAGATACGATAACAAAAGAATATCCAACAGCAGTCATGAATCAGAAAAGCTAGGTGTTTGGATTGTCAATCTCTTTAGTACAATTGAGGTCTTTAAAGAAATTAAGTATCGTCTAGACCTTAACTGTAATAGAGATTCGTTATTAGGTTAGATATGAAACTCGAGTCCTGGGAAAATGATTCGAAGACGAAGATCTGAAAAGCAAGATTTCAGCTGAAATAGCGTTCATGACATTGAGTACACAATCTTATTTTCTATCAGATAGAACAATCAAACGCAACATGTGGGCTAGAACTTTAGTCCAGTATATTGAATTTAGGTGCAAAGAAAAGGTAAATACGGTTGGGTGTATTCTGGCCGTGAAATTGCTCTAAATCGGTGAGATATGAACACATTGGTGTCTTGTTTTCTATACAGTTTCCAAATCGAAACATCTCAAATGATGGCGTTGAAATTTGACCAGCTTGCGCAGTACTACCACCAGAACTGACCCTCAACCAACCAATAACGCACTCAATGGATCAAAATGTGATATTCTCAATCGAAACTGGCTGTTTTCAACGAAAACATATGCATTGCCAGAGAAACCGGATCGTACGTGTTGGTGGTAATGTACAGCTTGATCCTCCCGCATCCAGCATCCATCCCTTCCGCCCGAATAATGACAACTCCGGCAACACTGATCCCCACACCTATCCATAACTTCCCAACTCATCTCTATGCTGATGCGTTTGCCGCTCTTTGGTCCTCAAGTTTTGCGTAGAAAGCATCGCGTTTGCGGACGGCTGGAACGTGGTATCCGTACCAAAAGGCGTATCCAAAGGCTGTTCCGAGACCTATTCGAATTCGGATTAGCTTTTCCCCGACTAACATGTTCCATGCGACGTTGTCCAGATCTCAAGTTATGGCCTTTATCCTGGCAGAACATCGCTCTCCGTATTTGCCTAATACCGCAGCTCGCAGCGCTCCTTGAAATATACAATCGCCGAAGGAAGAAGGGGTATCCAAGAGCAGCTCTCAAAAGTTTGAACAGCGATTTGGCTGACTGTTCTATGCGCAGAGCTTCCAAGTTCGTTTCCATCCTCATGCCTGATTCCGACACCCCACCATGCCTCCTCCCACTTTCGCACCAATCGGCTCCGAGATTTATGTGGTCGAAATCGCCCGAACATAACAGAAAGAATTTCAAAATCAATATCACTTACCACCAGCGACACTGAGGTCAAGGACAAGGCCCCGTCGGAGCATCTGGAAGAAACAAGTCAGCCCATGAATTCCAAAGCTTTCGAGTCCCGAGTGGATTCGCGAAGACTCGTCAAGGTAGAGACAAGTATACATACTCCGGTGATTGGTTTGATTGGCATTTTGTGTGATTTGTAGACGTTCCGTGGGTCTTTCAATTGTAGTTCTTGTCGTAAAGAGTCGTCGTTGAATCAAGCCAAGTCAAAGGCACTAGCGTCGGAATCACGTGCTCACGCCTGCCACATTTCTCGGGCTTGGCCTGGCCCCAGCCCAGAGCTCTTGGATATCAATCAACTTACCAAATCCAAAGGTACCATCATCAACTTTGCGCGACAACAATTCATAACGCCAACAACACTCCGAAGCTATTCCCTACTCTCGATAATGAAAGAGATATCCAAGACGAGGTGATACTCTGTGTTTTCATTGAGCACACGCGTGCGCGCAACGATTGAAGTCGAGGTCGCCCACCATGGGTCCCGTTTCCCCTGTCTCTCGAAAGCGATCAACGCCCTCTCACAGCGACGATGACCTCGCAGAAGTACATCCAAGCAAGAAGATATGCGTAAAACCTACGTTACCTCATACACCTCCTCCAGAAACCCCGCTGGAGGCGCCAAAGGAACGGGCGCAAGATTTCGAACATGAGCCCCGAGCGCTCTTGAGGCGCCAGATAGCAATGACCTTACAACATGTTGGATTCGATGGATCTGAACCGGAAGCTATGGAATCCTTTTGCATGGCAGTCGAGACCTGTTAGTATCCATTGTTCGATTGCTGCGAATCTCGCGCTCTAAACTAAGCTACTAGACTTCGAGAAATTCGCTTCACGCATAACATTGAGCATGCACAATTCGAGACGATCGCTACCTATACCTTCCGATTTCCAACACGGGTTATCAGCTGTTGCTCTACCGCTATTGTCACTAGAACCGCATCTGGATCCGCCCGTAGCTCCTATAAAAGGACTACCCGCGGAACCACCCGAAGAGTCAAAGATCATTTCGACGGTCGCATTACTGGGCGAGGAACTGGATGGTAATTTGGAGAAGAAGATGCTTCGGCAGATACCGAAGAATTTTCCCTCTTTTCCCAGCAAGCATACATACAAGCGGACTGAACAAGAATCGCAACGAGAGACTGATCCCAGGAAGATTCGAGAAGAGGCTGCGAATGCTGCAAGGCATGCTGAAGAGGCACTTCGCCGGCTAGTGAATGTAGAAAAGGCCGTAAAGGAGAAAAATGTCAAGAAGAATGCAAGCAAGGACCCACGAAGTAAAGAGAGACACGACATATGGGAAGAAACGATGAGATCATTCATGAAGGGACAGGAAAGGCGGTTTGAAGTGGGCGAACACAACGGAAATGATGATAGAAGTATGATTGTCAATTCCGAGAGGCAGTTTTTCCGGAAAGGCGCGGTAACGAAGAGGAAGCCACCGAAAGAAAATGGGGAGTCGGCGTAAAAATTCGTTTGGGATATTTAATGGGATGGGGTTTTGATCAATTTAGCGTGGTGTTCGGGATTGGGCATGGATATTGATTTTTCAACAGTGTGTATATAGAAACCATACATACATAGTATGGTCGGAAAGTGCTGCAGAATGCACTTTGTACAAAGACTCTTTCTTGCCTGCAGCGCAAGTCTGGTGGGCATGCTTTTATTCAAGAGGATTTTCACCAGTTTCTGTCTGCTGCTTTGTAATTGAACTTTTGGTGCTTTGCCTGAATTACTTTTTATGGCTATTATTGTGGTGAAATTCTGTTGTTAATCAAGAGGGGGGCTCAAATTCGCGTAAGGAACTACCGACATTCCATATCATGAAGTTTACTTGACTACTTTTTTTATTCGTGTATCAAAACTCTCCCTTCTAACAGATTATGATTTTCAACGCCTGTACACCCCCTGCTCCATCTGTAAAATATTGTCTATATAATATCATCATTGCGCGTAAAATTACGACTAATCGTTGACAAGAGAACAGGGTGTCTTGGTAGAATTGCTCTCTGTCCACAGGTATGCATATGAATGCTTTTGTAGATTGTGGGACTTGAGACGCTTCTACAAATATGGATGCCATGTTATTCAACTTACGTGAGGAGAGAGCTATGTTGAGAATCTCCGAAAGTCACTGATGTTGAAGACACTAGCGATGCTGCCAAAGAGCACTAAGCAGTGTACAGTACGGAAAAATCCCCCGACCTGTTGCTAAAACTGGAAACCTCCGTATTTGGGCGATGAATGTCGACAACTCGAAGTTTAACGAGGATTGGTTCATCTCGGACTATAACGCTAGTACGATTAAGAAACTTCGTCTTGCAGCGCAAAAACCCAGCCATTGGTCTGACAGCAGAGATGCTTCATTTTGCTTTTCCGACTGCCTTCGATAATTTTTACTGTCGAAAGTTTTGCTGTCGTCGATTTTTCAAGGGCTTGTTTATTCATGAGTTTTCTTTCCTACTTTCTGGTTTATGTTCTGTTGAAGGTCTCTCTTTTGGAAGGTTTGTGATATCCACGGTAGTGCTGCAAGATAATGCCTGCCTTTTTATATTGGAATAGCACTCCTACCCTTCTTTTTTCCCAGACCCCTTGTGCAATTCTTGAGATACAATATGAAAATGGATGAGCTCTATATATGAACGTGACCTTCAAAGTTTGCGTGGGTCAAAACAATCGAGAGTGTATTTAAAAGTCCTCACTATGTTTATTCCGAGTAGACTTTCAGTACTGTAGTTTGGAGCTACTTGTTTGCAATTCTCTGGGCTGGCAGATTGTTACGTACTACTGCATTGTGCGATCTGTTGTCTTGTTGCTGTATCTTGGTAGATTTGATGGGAAACATGTGTTCACGAATAAATCAGACAGTTTGGTTTAAGGGGGTATGAATTTATACTATGCTGTCGCCATGGGCCTTTTACATAGATGGTTCATGGCCATATACAAGGAAATCTCAGGGCGTGTCTTTTTGTATTTGAGGAACTCATATCTCATTCTTCCGTCTTCAGATTCAAGTCATTTCATACCTTCCTAACACGCAACTAAGGACGAAAAGCGATCTGCTTCCTAAGAGTCATAGTGTAAGTAGATAAGATCCTCGAGCTAGCCAAGAGCTTTTAGACAACAGTCAAGTTCTCATTGGCGATCCACCCCCGTCATGGTGGGAGAAAGGAGTGGACTTGGTAGGAAAAAATGTCATTACCCTCAGTTCCTTTTTAACTGTTGTATTTCTTGATACACCAGCTTAAGAGCGTATGGTAGAAAAAAGAACAAGGATGTCCGCTACTACGTGTTTGATTTGCTGTCGATTATTTTCTTGTTGTCGAATTATGTTAACGACTTACTCTCGTTTTTGTGGCGCCTTCTTTGATCTTTTCTGTAGGGAGATACTTGTAAATTTAAGCCAGTATATTTACGTAATAGTCGAGTCATTTCTCGGAGTATTTTCTGTTTGGGGAAATCAGGCAGTCCCCATGGCTTCCACTCGTCTCTTGCTAGTATTATGCCAGCTTGTACGAGGAATATGCGTATTGGAAGTCTAATATACGTAAAAGACGTCCGATATATATATTCCTCGTATACGCTAGTATAATTCTATAGCGAGAACGGGTAGGAGTCTATCAACCCTTGATAATAAGGGGGGTCCTCAGGTTCTTTTATACTTTAATCAAGAGCCTCGTGTGATACGGAAACCCCAACATTTTTAATAATCTCTATGAAACATGTGGTTTGTTTCGATTTAGACAAGCGAAATAATGCTAAAGAGCCGGAAAATGCAATGATGGATTTAATCTTCTGAAGCAGTGAAGTTTAGGCAAGAGGTAATTTTGCTACTGGTAGGTTATTGGATTGAGGATGGAGGGTGGCTACATTATGGTTTCTTGTACTAGCATTACTTTACTAGTTAAAGATATATATAGAGTACGTCAGCGACTTGGAATACCGTATTAATTGGATTATAAGATATCATACACGAATAAGATATTACTACGTTTGTAGATATGGTTCTATATGGTCCGAAAAACTAATATCTTATAACTTTGACTGATAAGAAGGCTAGAATCCTAAATCGATACTTTTATATCATTTTTCAGACGCTTTATTCAACAACACAACATTGGCCAAATCACTTATAATTATAGTACTAGATGCCCAAGAGTGTGTTTCAAAGTTAAGCTATAAAAAAAAACCGTATATAGATATTGTAAAATTTGAAGCTATTCCCAGATACCCCGTATATTGCCGCCGCATTTTGTTAACTTATCCGTCTATATCTATATCCATATAGTCCTCCTCGTCAAAATCAGGAGAGAACTTATCGTCGTCTATAGAATAGAGATATTAGAAAAGGATAAGAGAGGGCATTAGTAAGTAACACTAAAAAGTAGTGTAAAACTATTATACAAGATATTAGTTTTTATATAAGATATGGTTCGAATGGGCCTTAGGACGGATCTTTTATTTAAATAATGATATCTTGTAATCCAATTAATACGGTATTTAATTTCACGAATGTTACAAAATTTGAGAATCGAAGCTACTATGTCTCATTTGTTATGAAGATCGTGGGATGAAATTATTGATTTCTGGTTGCGGCGTTATAGAATAATAACAAGATCTCGGGACTTAAGCGAAAATAGGCGAGATTTTTCGGGCAACTTGATTCAAGCAAGCGTCGCTTCTTTACTCGTTTGTACTTCTGAGTCCACGCATTTTCTTCAAGGCATTGAAATGTAAGTGGAAAGAAGTCCCATTGATTATTTTCCATTACTAGCGTACGAACGAACCACTTAACTACTCGAGTCCTTATTTTCTACGCTATCTATTACGGAGCCATTGGAAACTAAAGCGGTTACTTGGGACAGGGGCACAAAATCAAAAGTCTTCACATCAAGCGTTTACAAAAGGAAGACTCTAATATAAAGATATTTTGGATTCACTTTCTCGATCTCTAATCAACGAATATCTATCACAATCTGGTCTCAGTCGAAATCCTCAAATTAATCCTCACTCCCCGCTCTCATGTTTCCCCAATCAAGACTCAGAGTAAGTATGCCGGAGGATTACCATCATCCAAAACCGCCGGTCTATAAAGAAACACCACGTCCTTCTGTCCATCCTGCTCATACCAAGCCGTGAGTTCCAAATTCCGTCGAGAATGAATGCCGCTCTCCTCCTGGGGTAGTTCAGGACTATCTTCCTCCTCAAATACTCTCATTAGACCATCATATTGATCGAGATTCTCTTCCCCAAAAAAGTTCATGAGTCCCTCATACGGATCCGCGCTTTCCCGCGCCACGAACTGTTGGTCCCAGTAAAACCACTCTCCTTCACATTTCGACCGATCATATGGAATACCGATGATGACAGGTTCCTTAGGATGGTCTCTTGCGCAACGAGACACGGGTCGCAGTGTATAATGCGCCAGTTGCTTCGCGCGTGGGTCATCCGCGGATATGTTTGGTTGGAGGTACAAGAGTTCAGACTGCCACCAATCCAGACGGTCTTCTCTGCATATGAGGGCGCAATTGAAGTCCCATGTTTTTGAGTCGGCGATGGGGAGAGAATGCAGGTCTTTGTATATCCCCGTTGCCATTCGGCGCCATTCATTCATCTTTGATTTGTCCAACCACATGGCTGACTCGCGGCTTTCGTTACGCTTTTTTGAGACTTTTATAGATTTGCAGAGTTGAGAATTCATAGGGACCAATCTGAAACGCTGGCGGTGGCGGAGAGACGTAAGGCCAGCTACCTCGCCAGCTTCCGTGCTAAGACTCTCATATCCGGCCTCACTGGTTGGCGGATAATTCAAAATGCAGGTCAAACTCTTAAGCGAAGGGAACGAGGAGATAAACTCTTCAGTAAAAACTTCACCTTCATCCCACCCGCCGTTCTTTACAAATGCCAGGCTCTGAATGCCATCAAGAACAAGTGGCGTAGTCGACCACTCATGCGGACTAAGACTACCGAGTGAACCAGTCTCGAACACAACGACGACGTCCCGGGCGCCATCCACGTAGATCGGTCTTAAGAGTTTTCGGTGGTCAAAATCATCCACATTATACATTCCACTCTGCTTCAGCACCTCTCTGGCCAGTTCCAAAGGCTGAATGTCACGATAGTATAGTCGAAAAATGCCTAGGGAATCTTTACAGGAAAACATATGCTGGTAGCTGTCTTGATCGTCGGCAAGTCCGTCGATTGAGTAACGATATCCAATAGGCGTCAAAAACACCAACTTTGGATCCGGCAGACTTAGTTCCCAGATTCGATTTCGCAACTAAGACACGAAGAAAAGTCAGCCTCTGTACACCCGCCTTCCTATGGATGCTTTATGTAATAAAAGGAGGAGGAATATAGAATCATACTTACTTCACCAGGGAGCTTCGCAAATCCAGTCAAGGGTGGTATTTCTTCCGTAGGCCACTCAACCAATCTGAACTTTTTATAATCTGGAAATTTCGCACGGCAGGGCGTTCCATCTGCGTATGTTGGGTTTGGGACAATATTCCAATGAGCTGGGTTGTTTTTAGTCAGTCAAGATCCTCGATTCATTCTATAATGAGGAGGCTTACCTGGATCATAAAAATTGTAGATATTGGTGGAAGTTTGCTGCTTCTGCTCCTCGCCTTGAATGGCCTTGGCACCTTTCGTATTCTTGTCTGAATCACTGGGACATTTGGGGAGTAAAGGGAGTGGGATGTTGGGTCTTGTACAGTAGAGCTTTCCAGGTATATCACGGCCGGTTTTGACCCTACAAAGGCCTGCGTAAGATGGCATGATTGCTTGTACTGGAGATTTAATAGTACAGTCGTATTGCTTCTTGTTTGTCTCCTGAAGTTGACTTGGAAGTAGTTAGAGAAGGGTTGCGGTCGTGTTGCTTACACATATGTGGTTATAGGTTGGTAGTGGATGCGCTCTGGTAGATGTGGTAGATGAGTTACAATATACCGCGGAGGCAAGAGCTATAGGCCAAGTACATCTACCTCATACAAGCATAGGGCTTAGTCCAAGCCCTTGTAACTTCCGCCTAGTGAATAAAACTCTGTTCCGCTTCTCTCTTAAAAAGCTTTTGCTAATACAATGGAGTTATTCCTTGTTCTGCGCTTCTACTTGGTATGATTGCGTTCCAAACCTGTAGTGAACAAACCGTCTCCCTTACTCTTTAGATCTTCACTACCGTTATATAGAACGCTAATTAGGGGTTAGTTTTTGTGCTCACGCTATCCACCTGCTAAGTGAGCAGAAGCCTACTGGTAGTGAAGTTCTATGAGTAAGGAGTAGGCCCTGATTAGCAGTAACTAAGTGGCTGTTATCCTCTTGGGTTAATCACTAGTGAGCGTGAATAGGAATATTTAAGTCACATGTCTACTATCCCCTATAACAAGAATAATTCGTACCAACGTAGACCTTTCTTAAGCTATAAACACTTAGTGTGACAGTTTTTGATTTAGTGAATAAGTGTTCGCTTAGCGAAGTTGCGGGTGTACCCTTCCGTAGATAGACAAATACCTAAGGAGTGCGAAGAGCGTCTCTCTTCCCTCCTTGCGAACAATCTATTCCCTGATCCCCACCATAACATTTAGTTTAGAATAAATATTAAATCAGGGATATTTTTATATTACGTAAGGACAAACAAAAAACTAACAAGAGCTAGCGGTAGGGGCAGAAATCTTTAATTACTATATACGTTAGTTTCTCGCGTTCTTATTATTTTACTTCTCTTATTTCTTCTCTTATCTCTATTTACTTAGCTCTCTTAACTAGCTAGGTACTCTACCTATAGTTATAACAAAGTATTAAATACTTGCCTACGTTTACTTATAGGTGTGATACGTATATATACTTATTATTTTAAGGAATATAATTTATAGTATAAGTTATAAATATTACGTTTTTACTTAAAACCTCTCTATATTTTTACTTTATTATATCTTCACTTCCTCACTTCCTCACTTCTTCACTTCCTCACTTCCTCACTTCCTCACTTCCTTACTCCCCCACTCCCTTACCTCCTTACCTCCTTACTTCTTTCTAATTATATCCCTTACCTTATGACTTCTATATTTCCTCCCTTCCTCCCTCTCTTACCCTAAATATCTTTTATAAACTAACTTATATAGACCTGAAATCCACAAAAACCCTAGAAAAAAGATTTTCTATTCTAACATACTAGGTAACTAATTACCTATTAACACCCTATCCTACCTACCCCATCCTATCCCATCCCATCCCATCCACGCCTGGAAACACAACGCAAATCAACCAAATTCTATGAACAGTGGTTGAAGCAAAAAATACACACACAGATATATATATATGAACCCAGGCACCGTACACCCCCTTCTCCTCCACTTTTCTTCTTACCTTTCCTATCCTCACTCCAGCAAATTCTTTTCAAATCACTCTTCTAATGGTACATCGCATGTCCCTTCACTTCCCACCCCACCTATCTTGACATGCCTTTATATTTGTAGCCGCCAACAAAATATGGCGATTCGGTATCCAGGATTGTAATTTCGACTTGTTATCCTAGGATTGAACCTTCTTTCTCCTCATCTCCTCGGTTCCAATGCCGAATAGCACATCTCATTTCGGCATTTGTGACAACAACGCAAAGCGGGTTTGTAACCTTAGCACTCCCCGAAATCTTGTTTTATTTTCTCGGCTCGGCTCTTGTATTCTCAATTCCTTATCATTGGAAACTTTTCTATCGTCCAAAATTGATTATAGCGAGCTATGACTTAGTCAGCCGATTCCAATCAAAATTCCAAAAAAGACTGTACTTACCGAGGTACTAAATCCATAAGCAAGTTTTCGGCCAGTTGAATCCCAAGATAGGGAGTAGTTATTTTCATCTGAATTGGAGTCTTGCGACATTGGAGTACTCCACCCAGACTGATCACTTCGATTCCACGCTGCTCTTGGAAGTATTGGATCGTCAACCTTCCAGATAAATATTTGATCGGTTGTTGCGCCAGCGATGAATATGCCACATGGTGTAAATGCCAAGGATGTAACGCCCGAGTGCATGGTCATGGAGAATCTGGGTTTAGTTTCCGATGACCTGCCATTCCAAATACTAATTGCACAATCTTCTCCAGCTGACGCTAGTAATCGTTCAGCGTCATCTCCAACAGCTGCTGGAACTGGCAAAGGTTGCCACATTAAAGCTGTGATGACTCCTTGATGTGCGTTGAAAGAATGACATTGTCCAGTTTGGTTCCAGATCTGATCACAGTTAGCAGGAGATCTTGACGGCTAATCTGGAAAACTTACGTCAATCATTCCAGTCTCGCTAGCGGTAGCGAGTAAAGTAGAGCGCCAGTCGTATTTAAGCATGGAAATGGCATGGCGATCTCTGGTCTCAAACTTTTTCGTCATAGAGATGGCCCCTTCAGCGCACCGGAACTCTTGAAGAATATCCCCTCCGCCGATTACAAATTTATCGTCCTTGGTCCAAGCCGCGTCTAACGTTTGGTCCAACAGCGAGTGATCTGGGATGTAGTGCTTAAAACATTTCCCTTCCGCCGGATCCATAATGGTGATTACAACCCCCTGAGTGTGGTTGCCAGGTGAGAGTACCAGACATGCTGTGTTTGACGGATTCCAGCGCAAGAGGATGATGGGTGAGTAGATGCCGTCAAAAGCACAATGTGGGTGCCCTTGGGCCGTCCAGAAGCCAATTCTTGCAACTCCCTCCTCCAACGGCTCACTGGCGACGGCCACAAATTTTCCATCGGACGACCAGCTAAGTCCCGTGACCGTGGTGGTCGGCGGCGCATTGTCAGACAACAGGTTCTGGAAGGGTTGAAACAAAGGCTTTCGCTGCGAGCTTGCCCCTGCAGTTGCGTCGGTGGTTGTCTCGGCTGCCGTACGCGACAGGGTCCAGAGGCGAGCTAGCGCATCGGTACCCGCAGCCGCCAAGATGGCTGGATCTCGTGGGTTCCACTCGCATTGCAACAAAACTGCATTTCGCTGAGCCTGGTCGTCCGACAATTCCAGGAACAACGTCTCTGTGGAAAGTTCAGAAACTTTAACAGGCTGGATGCCTCGCTCAGGCCCGACGGTGATAACCAACGGCAACGGTGCTTGCTCAGAGGGTGATGGATATGCGTTCTCGTCGTGACCATGACCGTGACCGTGACTGAGGCCGTGACTGAGGCCGTTCTGCTCGTCGTCAATTTCCATGGGCGTCGGGTCGAAGCCGTTGCCGTTTCCGTTGCCATTTCCGCTGTCGTAGCCATTGCTGAGTCGGGGTCGCTTGGCGGGGGGCCCATTGTTATTGGCTCCAGGTCCAGCTCCGTTGGTAGCTTGAGGCTGTTCGTTGTCCATTTGACGCTTTCGGACATTTTCAGAATCCTCTTCGTCAGCTGGTGCCGATGTGGTTGAGTTGGGTAATGGTCCAAAGAAGCCCGTCTGTGCATCCCCTTCTGGCGCGCTCACCTATCAAGGCGGTCAGGTCAGTTGCATCTCCCATGGCTGCAAATGGCTCCCACGAGCAATGGCGATTTGTTTCTTTACACACGTACCTGCGCATGATCTCCAGCAATGGCGCTGTACACGAGTCCTCTGTTGAGCAGAACGACGAGTGCATGATTCGGTACATAGGGCGCACATGGGAGTTTCTGCGGATCGGGCGTGTTCCACTCCTTTTGCAGCCGGACAGCTGTCTCTTGATAACCTGAAGCCATGGATTTAGCACGCATGGAATGGGGGAGGGACAGCGTCCTGAAGGTCTTTGGGAATCATCTTGTATACATACCACAATCGACCAGATACCTGTGCGAAAACGTGACAATTAGCGAAAACCAATCCTGTACCTGACAACCACGCAGGCGGATCACGAGGAAACACATACCTCCAGATCATGTAATTGACCCGATCCGAGTCGAGCGACTCCTTGGACATGGTTGCGGTGCGCTGGAGGCGGCCAAGGGCAAATGGGAGGCTGAGATGGTGCGTTGAGTGACGAGAGGGTGGTTGACGAGAGGTGTATGGTGTTGTTGTATGGTGTTCGGAGGTTTGGAATGAAGGTGTGTTCAGTGTTCAGTGTTCAGTGTTCGCCTCTCGTCGGTTCCTCACCAAGACGCCAGGCGGGAGCACTGAGCAGGGCAGATGGTGTGGGATGAAAAGGTGGAGCGACAGGGCGTTGCTGCCAGTGTGGAGCCGGGGGAGTGATTGGTCTAGGGGATGCTGTAACTGTGAAGGCCGTGCTGTCGGGGCGGCGGTGATGTGCCAGGTGTAAGAATCTGCAGGCGGTGGGTTGTGAGGATGCGATGCTAGGGCTGGCGGTGTTGTGGTGGTAGCAGGGCAGGAGTACGAGAGTACGAGTACAGTGCAGGAATAGTAGAGTTGAGAGACTGCAATTGAGCCCTCGTGTCAAGTGCTAGTGCCTACGGCCGCTGCCTACTGCCTTTATAGCTGCTTGCTAGCGTGTCGTCGAGTACCTACGTAGACCTCTGTTGAGACTGTCACCGTCCTATCAACCGCCTGAGACGGGGGACGCTTTTAGCCGTGCGTCGATCGTCTTCCTGGGATTCGGGGATATCGAAGTGTGGAGTATGGTGCTGGTGTGTGACCGGGGCACCAATGGCACCAATGGCACCTCCAGGGCTAGACGGGGAAGCAGGGAAGCAGGGTGTGCTGACTCAAAACGGATCGGGCGCTAGAGGTTGATTCTTCGAGTGTACGAGTATGAGTCCTGCGTATGGTGACAGAGTTGTATGGTTTGTAGAGAGCAGTACTACTACTAGTACTAGTAGAGAGCCTACGATTGTCTGCAAGTTGGTGTTGGCAGAAGAGGCCTACGCCTACGCCTACGCCTACGCCTACACTCTACCTGGAATTGGTGGTTGGTTGGTTCTTAGTTTAGTTGGGTTGGGGAGGCTAGACTTTGGAGGGTTGGCTGACGCGCTTGGTACTATCCCGTACGAGGTACTCTTGCTCGGCAGGTACAAGTAGCGACGAACCAAATCAAGAACCGCTAGCGATCAGCTATCAACCTACTTAACGCGCTCCTTTCTCCTTTCAATCCTCGCTACCGCCAAATACTCGAGCTTCTCCTGCGCAAGCTTCCAATTGACCAGTTTGTATCCCGTGGTCTATTCCCCTCTTCCTCCAACGGTGTGACGGGAATCGCGTGCAGATGTGGATCGTGGAGAGCTGCGTAGTCGTCGGTACAGGGGAGGTAGTCGTACTCACCTACATTATTCGACTATGTAGCTTCATGCGAGGTGGTGCCGAGTACTGTACACAAAGCTGCGAGCATGGCATATGCATGCCGGTGGTCAAGGGAAACGAGCGAGCACTTCTCAACGCTGTTCAATGTCTGGTGCTGGTGCTGGTACGAGTACTCGTTCTTTGATATCCTGACTTTTGTGGTCCTCTGTATTTTCGGCGCATATCGCATATCCGTCGGTTTCGTAGTGGAGATGATGGAGTCAGGAGTCAGTCCGTTGATGATGCTTGTCATTTTTTGACGCAAGTGCAGGTGCTTTAACCTTTTTGGACGTTCAAGGTGGGCCATCCAACCAATCTGCGGCGACCGCTTGCCCGCTTACCCACTTGCCAGCCCCTGCCCAAAGCTTATTTTAGCCACGTGACATCAAAATATGCTCAAACAGGTTAGAGGCTTCCCACGTCTTCTGGGGAGCTCTGGCCTAAGGCTCTAATTTTGATCGACATCGGGTCATCGGTCCGTGTTGACTCCGATGTGGGATCTGTCATTTTTCTCGTCCAACGAGGCGAGCGAGGGAACAAGAGCTTCAAACTCAACGTGCTGGCCTTTGAGCTCTGTGAGAATCCCCCACAACCTACGACGACATCATGCCTCCCAGGCTCAACATCCCACCCATAACTCGAATCCTCCTCATTGTCCTGGTCTTTCAGTCTCTGCTGAGCGGCGCCATACGATACAGACAATGGAATGGAGAGAATGATGTCGTGGTTCCGTACCTTGCCCTGGTACCACAACTTTCCTTGATATATCCCTGGACCTTTATTACCACGACGCTGGTGGAGAATAATGTCTTTACTTTTGCCATAGCCGGCGTGACCATCTTCTATGGGGGGAGATATCTGGAGCGCGCCTGGACCTCGGTCGAGTTTGTCAAGTTCCTAGCTGTGGCAGCTGTGATACCAAACATCATCTGCTTTGGCATTCTGGTCTTCTTCTTTGCATTAACAGGAAATGTCGAGTGGACGTGAGTTCATAAACCTGCCCAAGAAACATCCTCATACTAACATTCTCCAGTTTGTTAACTATCAATGGCACCATTCCCCTCCAAATCGCCTTCCTCGTAGCCTTCTCCCAACTCGTCCCCGCGCATACAGTAACCCTCTTCAAGGGCATCATCTCCCTTCGAGTTCCCCGCTTTCCCCTTCTCCATATCCTTTCCGTCTTCCTCCTCGCCCTCACCCCGATCCTTAGCGCAGCCTCCTTCTTCCTCGTCCTCAACGGCTTCATAACAAGCTGGGCCTACCTCCGCTTCTACAAACCCGCCTTCCCAGATCTAGAAGCGACTCAAAATGCCACCTTGCGGGGCGACGCCAGCGAAACCTTTGCGTTCTCGGAATTCTTCCCAGATCCTGTCAAGCCCGCTATATCCGATTTCTCAAATCAAATCTTCAACATCCTCGTCGCGTTCAAAATCTGCACTCCCTTCTCAGCCGCGGATCTCTCGGCTCCAAGAGGAGAATCAGTCATGCAAAGGGGGACACCAGGGAGTGCGCGCGCGGAAGCGGAACGCAGGAGGGCGATTGCGTTGAAAGCCCTGGATCAGAGATTACACGCTGCGACCACGGTGCCGAAGCCTAAACCACCACCTCCTGTGGTTGCGGGACCGAGTGTGCAGGTTCAGCCGCAGCCCAATGTCCCGGAACCGACGGCGATGCTGGGGGAGACGAGTTATGTTCCTGAGAGGGAGGATGGGAAGGATGGGCAGTGATGGGGTTTGGTAGAGAGAAAGGAAACGGGAATTAGAAAGGGCAGGGGCAATTGATGATTTTTGTTATATACGGGACTGTCTACCTTTGTCTGTCTGTCTGATTAGGACTGTGTTTTTGGTACTTGTGGTTTTCCTATTTTCTTTTCATTTAATTTCAGCTTTGTTGGGGAGGTTTTCTGATGGGGGCGTCACGGAAAGGGCAAGGTAAGATTACTGTAGGTAGGTAGGTATGGAGGAATCAATGGACGGAAAGGGCATTAGGGGCATGTATAGGGGTAGGGGTGGACTAGGGGTTCCTTTTCTTTCTCATTATCGGTTTTTTTTATCATCATTCTTCTTTGTAATGTTCCATGTTTCCATATCCTTTGTATATCGATTTCTCATGATACCCCCGCCAAAAATCAAAAACCTCTTGATATTCTTGTTTGTCTTTTTGGAGGAGACTTTAATGTGTTTTTGCTTGGGTGTGTGGACGCTTGATTTGTGTGGATTTTGTGGGCACTGTTGGGGGTTGGGTTGGATTGGAATGGATTGGATCGTGTCAAGTCAGTTGAATGCTTCCTGATACTGGTTGGGAGGAATGGTTGGGAGGAAAAATTTGGGGAGGAGATGGGAGAGGAGATGGAAGGGAGGAGTTCTGGTGATTATATCTATATATTAGTATTCGTATGGTACGGTGAGATTACTAACTCCGAGACTCCAGTATCGAATCCTAATACTGCTTTCTTAGAATCTTAACTATAGATAACGCCTCCCTCCCCGCCCCCCTTTTTTTCAGTTCATCTCGTTCATCTTATTCATCTCGGTTGCTTGTTTGTTTCCCTTTAATCGTTTGGTTTAGGTTGGATGTAAGGAAAAGGGAGGCGGGGTATAAATGTATGTAAGGAACACCAACTTTTCTTGAGATTAACTATACAACACGTAAATAGATTTATTTATATTATTATACGTAAATAGATACTATAGATCTAGGTAGGAGCTTACTATCTATATATTCTACTCTTTGAATAGTCCCGAATACTGTGACGACACGTACGATGTGTTGCTCAAGGAGCGTCCAAGGTGTAGGTTATGGAATCGTAGAACTGTCTATTCGAAGATTCTAAGCTGAGGAGAAGAGGAGAGCTCGAGGGAGCTTGAGTCTAAATACAATGTGGTTCGCTAAGGAAGCCACGTGATATGAATGGCATGTGACGGTCAGAACCGTCACAAATACGCTTTAAGCCTATTAAAATACTTAACTTAGTACTAACTTAACCTACTAGAAGTTCGCGGTCTAAAAGGGTTATCTTAGGCGTAACTACTAATCATTACTAAAGAGCGACTATAAATTATTAGACCATCTTTACTACCTACACCTAGTATAATATCTGGTTTTGTAAACAAAGCCTTGTTTCTATCGCTTTTCGTGGGAAATAGTATATTTGTACTTGGAACTTGTACAACTACTGAGTCTAATTGGATCGATTGACTGTGCACGGTCCAGTGTCACAGTATGATTCTGTCCGCAGCTGAGGGGATAGTGTTTTGGAGTGATAGAGGGGTAGCGTGATAGAGGGGTAGCGTGATAGAGTGATGGAGTGAGGAAGTGAGGGAGTGATGGAGTAATAGAAGGGGGCTCTAGGAATAGGATCTTTAAATGGGAATTTTGTGGTTTGGGGGGGATGGGGAAGGAGCGTGGTTAGGTGGGAGTGGAAGGGGAAGAGGGTGGAGTGCTGGAGTGCTGGAGTGATAGAAGGGGGATGGGGATGGGAAGGAGGGTTGAGGGAATTAGGAGGTTTTTTTTAAGGTAATATTATAGTATTGGGATTTGTGATTGGAGTGTTACAGTGTGAGATTTGGGGAGGAAGGGGAGGTTTGGAAATTGAGGATATTTAAGGAAGTGTGTGAGATGACGTGTATTTCCTTCTCACTCTCACTCATCCCACCCCCTCCAACCCACCCCTCCTTCTCTCATCCTTCTCTCCTCCTTCTCCCTAACTCCAAAACAAGACCTACAAACCTCCCCTCCCACATCTATACCCCACCAAACAAACACAGAAGATCGGATCTAGGTCCGGCATTGGTGGTGGAGTTCTTTGCGAGGTGTGAGTGGGTAGCTAATTCGCTTCGGAGAATATCATGGTGTGTGAGGTGTATATGTTGAGTGCTTTGTGAGATTTCGGGGGGTTGTGGGGTGAGTTGGAGGGGAGGCGAGGGGAAGGAAAGAGAGAGGGGAGAGGGAGGAGTTTGTTGTTTAAGGGGGTTTGGATGAGTGAGGGGTGGAGATGGGGGGGAGGTTGATGATATTTCCTATCATGAATTGGTTGCCTTATCGTAATTTGTAGATACAACAAACATTCCCTCCTTAATCTATATAGTCAGAAGCACCTCCCTTGCTTTAGGATGTGCTGCTTAGCTTTCTTCCTTGGCGGAAGTTGATTTTTTGATAAACAAACTGGTGTTCTTCGCTAGATGGCTTGGATCAGAGGCTCAGAGCTTTTCTAATGGACCTGGGCGGTGGTGTATTACATGAAAGTTCATGTATCTGATAACCACGCTTTCAGGGAGGAGTTTCTGGTGCGAGAGATGAGGGTTGTTTTCGGATAGGAGTCCCGGGATGGGTGGAGGATTTGGAGGATGAAGGATAAAGGATGTTAAAGCGAGAGTTTGGGGGGATATGGATTTATGGATTTTATAGATCTTCTGTAGTTTCAAAATCATGACTTATAAGCAAAAGAAAGAGAAGGAGCAGAAGAGCAAACCGGATTTGAAAGTCTTTCAAATTCTAAAGTAACGATCACCTAGTCCCTTACCGCTATCTCAATCGACTCAGACGATGAAATTGGGACAGGTGGTACTTGTAGAAATCCATGGAGTAAATACGTATACTACACCAATCACAAAACGTCATCTCCCAATAAAAACAAGGTACGATGTCCTCGTAAATTCCTCCTTACTAGCGAGAAGACAAGTAAGTTATAACTTCAGCACCGACGGAAGATTGGGTTCTATATATATAAAAGGCCAAATTTGGCTTGTGAGCTTACTTATAGTGCTACGATAAGAAAAGAGTGCAAGGGGAAGGGGGGAGGGGATTTGCTGTCGATTTCTGTTTTGTTGTCGAATTCCTGTTTTTCGCTTTGGGGGGAAGAGTGGTGGGATAGAGGGGATGGGGAGGTTGGTTGCTGGAGTTTTTACGTCTACAGAGACTAATGGATGGGAGTGAGGTGTTGAAGGTGAAATTCTTGTTGGTTGTTTATATGGGTCAGCAACTAAAACCATACAAGGTTTGTTGTAAGAGGGTTGGTTGAAAAGGATAGATGGGAGGTTGTAGATATTTATGTTTCTTGAGTTGGATAGATCAGCTGTGAAGGTGCTGGATGTGTGGTCTTCGGAGGAAATCTTTCTATGTGCAAGAGTCTAGGGGAGAACGGACGGGGATTGGTGGATTCCCTGGTTTTGATCTGGTTTTGATCTGGTTTTGATCTGATTATGGGTAGATATAGTACTTAATCTCAGGGGCTAAGAAGACCGCTTTTGATGAAGAATATTGGATCTCGACGGATGTTAGGCGTGATACTGACCACAACTCATTAGCAATCCCAGGGACATGAAAAGTCCCTATACAGATCCTTTTGCCTCGCAACCCCAGAAATAACTTCAGAGACAAAGACAGAGAGCGGCTGGAAAATCATATATATATTCCTCTCGAAATACAACTTTCTAGTATTAACATTTAACCCTGCGATATGATAGCGCAGAAATTGGCTTCAGCCCCAGGACAACGATCCTAGTCATTCTCTACAATTCTAAACTAGAGCAGTAAGATTACACTAGAACTATGTCTTGAAAGGGCTTACTCAATTGAGTTGATTGTTTTATACTTTAGTTATGTTAGTTAAAATACTACTATTGAAGTAGTTGAGTAGTTCTTTAGTGCGCTGCTCGCGCCCCTAGGAATAAGTTTAGACAGTGGGTATAGTTAGAAACTCACGTATATATATAATATTGCTAATCTAACTTGTAAATTCATGGTATTAACAAAGAATCTGACAGACCACAAATCATTCAAATTGATTCCCGTCGACTCTACAGACACGGATCATGGCTAATTCCCATACCTCTAAAACAGTGTATTGAGGCGAACCTGATTATTGGAGGTCATTGTACATTTAAGGGGTGATTCTTCCTTGTGTGATTGTTAAACGTGAGATATTTTAATCTGCTGTCGATTATCTTCTTACTGTCAAAGTCGTTTTCTATTGCACTGGCATTTTTATAAAACTATGTTACTGCGACCAGGTGATATAATAAGATTACTGATTGAGAGTTGAGATGGATGGAAGTACACTGTGTGTCTTTGCGAAGCTTAGGCAGTGTGTGATGGCAGAGCAACAGTTGATTTCTGAATGAACTGATATCCGTGTAGTATTCTAATCTTATGAGGGGGAATCTGTGATTATATACTATGAAGGAGATGCGTTCTTGGCGGTCGGCGTGGGTTCTTTTTTTAAAGGTTTTGAGGAAAAGTGTTGGTTTTAGACTATAAAAGGTACTTGTATAGAAGTTATAGAGAATGTTAGAGGTAATATAATAATGAAGCTATTGAATCAAATAAGTAGGAATGATTTGAATTATCGCAAGTAGTAATTCCAACTAGATGTCTTAATATGAAATATTACTTTAGTCCTTGAATTATTAAGGGGAAGGTTTTCAGCCTTTTCTCTTTAACTCCCGTCAACAGGCAAATGGTGCGAAGACTGTTCCATCTTATCGTATAAATAAGTTCTTACCACGTACTACCCACCGTAAAATGCAACAAGAAATTTGTTCACAATACAGTCAATGAACATTTACATCAAGATTATATCATCAAAAGCAGTGCTCGCAAATAAATCCTTTAACATACAAAGCTTTGAGAAATTAAACAAGAAATGAAGTACCAATTCAATTTCATCTAGCAACAGACCTTTCGGAGAGTTATGCTCAAAATAATCTAGCTTTCATTTATAGCATAGTGGAAATAGCCCCGAGTTTTTGGTTCCTTACTTGACATTGAGGTTGGGAGACTAGCTAGAAATTGACCCCGGCGAAAAGCCTTCACAGCTCCACCAAATCATGAGAAAGAGAAGTATATAACATATGAGATCCTCTCATGAGTTCCGAATACCCATGAAGCGAGAAACCCCTAGACCAACCTGATTCTGGTCTCACCAGGTTCCCCAAGTCTCAATTTCCATTCTCATTTGTGACTTGTATCTCTCTAAGACTAACAAAAACAAAACTTTTACTTGCGAAGATATGTAGACATACACTCGTATTTTTGGCGCAGATTGGATGGGCTACTGTCATCTGCTGTCGATTCTTTTCTTGCTTTCGAATGTTTTGCTCTCGGTCATAATAAACCAGGGGAGTGAAAATGGGTTCTTGGATGGAGATATGAAGTAACTTTGCTCTCCGGGGTTCTTTTCTTATTTCTCAAACTTCTTCCTCTTATTTTCTCGCGGTCTTGGGAACAATGGTTGGCCTTTCCCTTGTTATTATCTTGATTAGCGATAGAAAAAGAAGGAGTGACCTCCTCGTATTTATTAACACTATCTCCCATCTGGAGAAGTCACGCAGAAGGCTTAGTATGGTTGATTGGGGGTGTTTGGAGCAAGTTTTATGTTCTCGTTCAGCCAACCTCATTGTTCAAAGAATTTCTTGAAGATCTCTACTATGAAGCTTGCCCGGAATACAGTCAAATCGATGCCCCCAGACTTTCCAAGGTTGTTTCCACCACAAAATAGTTTTCTGGTAGAATGGATTGGTTCTTGTAAGCATTGTCTGGCCTATCATTTCTGCGACCAATCAATCCCACAAAAGAGTGGGGATAATTGTACCAGGATCATTCCAACTTCACATCTTTCCAACCTCATATCTTTCCTTTAGCATCGCAACTTTCATCTTCATACCAGAGTCATCTTCTCGAGCCCGAAATGCCTCTTGCATATATCCCCAAGTCACTCGCCAACACAATCCCATCCAAACCCGTCACAGCCATCTACCTCAGCACCTACCCCGCCCATGCAATCTCCCTCTCAGAAGACGCAAAACTGACCAACCATTGGGTCATGTACCTCCACGAATCCCCAACCACAGCAATACGTTTTGATCCCAGCCCTACCGGTCCAGGAAATTCTCTGGATCTCATCATAAGCGACAACTGTGTTTACACCGATGATGCAGTCAAAACTGTCCGGCTTTCAGTTGCTACGAACGTGACTGTGGGGAAGATTATCGATCATGTTGTTGGTTCTGGGTTTGATAAGTATATCTTCAGTCTTGAGGGACAAGGTTGTAGATTCTGGCTTCCCACGGTTGTGGCGTCGCTACTGGAATTGGGGTGTGTTGTTGATGAGAAGGAGGTGGAGGTTTGCAACGAGGCTTTGGAGGCTGCGTAGGAGGATCAAGAGAGTCAGATTCCAACGTCTCGCAGAGTTGGAATTACTGAAGGCTTTTTTCAAGTGTGAAGATGGAAGCGCCGGGGGGGTGGTGTGTCACGTGCAAGCGCGAGCACCTCGTGACAGGAAGGAAGGTGCGATGGCGCATCAAATTTCTTTCCGTGACCCAGCTCAACCTCTCGACCTTCACGCAACTGGAGTCCGCCCTCGCATGTCGCCGCAGACTTGAGTACAACCACGGAGGAGCTGGAGATTTCGCAATCCGCCAGCTTCAAAATGGCCGATGACGAAGGTATTGCGCAGCTTGATGCTGTCCAACCTGCGCAAGACTTGGTTCGACTCCCTGGATCAGTGAAAGACCTTGAGACTGAAATCTCACGACTTCGAAGAGAAAACCAATACCTTCGGAATCAGGTTGTGATACTCAGAGCAGAAGCTCTGGCTCTTGATACTGGCACGCGATTCCCACGTTTCAGTTCTCTTCCTGTCGAAATTCGTCGGTAAGTGAAGATGTGAACCTACCATTTTAGTTTCCATCTTACTAACCAACGAAGCATGATATGGATCTATGCATGCAAAGTGCCACAAGTACAAATCATTGCCTACAAGAGAACGAGTTCTTCCCGTCTCAATGACCTTTTTGACTCGTGCGAGGAAGCTAAACAGGTGACCTTATCACTTCGTCTTATATCGTTTCAATCGATTGGACCAATGGAACGAATCAATTTCTTCAACCCTCATCTCGATACTTTGTACATCAAGGACGGCTACACGCCTGAGGCTGTGGACTGGTATCGTGGATTATGCTACCCATCCTATGGTGGACGCCCACAGATTAACAAACATGGACAAGGCGTATCATCTCGAGACAATCCCGGTCCTGGTTCTCATGGTTGGTGGTGGTATCAAGAGGATTCCCGATCCAGCCCTCCAGACATAATTCATAGTTTGGCAATACCATACGAAGATATGTGCTTGGAGCCCGCGTATACCTCTATCTTTCATCAGCATAGCTATGGAGTCTGTATCTTCAGTCTCTTTAGTCAGTACCAATTCAAAGAGTTATTGGTTGTTATCAAGACAATCAAAATTCGAGAGAGCTCAGAGCGAGGGGTTTCGTTTGTTCAGCCCACCCAGACACCCCATGAATGGTTCGGGGAACAAATGGAAGAATGCTACCCCGAAGGCAACAACTTCCCTGATTTCATGTTATACTTGGGCTCTTTTAGGGAGTCTTGGCTATCACTTGAGTTGGAGTTGCGTCACTCGCTGATTAAATTCGGTATGTCTGAGACACTCTGCGTATCCCAGAACGCGAAACTCATTTTTATACAGATCTACACCGAGGAAGTTCAAATTGGGTACCTCCAAAAGTCAAATTTGTGGTTGCAATGATGAATGAAGACCTACTTGTTTAAAAATGGAGTCATTCTACGCAGTCTTGCCCGAAAACCTTGACTTGTAGCTCCTACATACATTGATGCTCTTGAGAATTTGTACATATCCCCAGAAGTAGTTGCTTCGCTCTTTTGCTGTACTGTTCTTACCTTCTACGATCTTTGGGGAGGAGACATGCTCAAAAGCAGAGGAAAATTTTATTCAAGTCGCGATCAAAGCCAGTACCAATGTGCAACAGGCATCAAGCAAGGATAGGGTCAGTTGAATTGGAGTGCTACCAAATAGACGAGGCCTTGTGTATGTTACCATGATGTCGAATTTAAATTCTTTTGCTTTTTCTCTTGTGTCTATTGTGGTATATTGCCGTCAGTCTGCCCTCGCAATCATTACATTGCTTTGTTTCTTGACCTACATTTCAGGCGTGGATCCCCTAATTCCTTACCCTTTTCTTCTTACAACAAAAACCCTACTAGTAGTATACACGGTACTTGGTAAATCCAGTGTAGTCAAATTTAAGTAGGTGAGTTGAGTAGTAGGCACCTACTTAACTCAATTCGAGTAGTCAAAATCGCTTCTCTATTCAACTCGTCAAGAACTCAATTAACCTAATTACTAATTAGGTAGTCGGAATACGCCGGCCCGAGTGACCGTGCCACTCCTGGGGAACTCGGGCCGGGAGGTCCGCCTACTCGGGTCTATTCAGCCGAGGATATAACCGAGTGCTTTAGAGTCGGAAATACTACCTTCTTTAATAGCAAACGCTAGTCTATAATAGTGTTATCAGCTAATATACCTTTTAGCTATGAAAATTTATTTTAGGCACGCTAAAAAGAGGTGTTCCTAAGTACCTAGGTAGAATAGATATAAAAAGAACTTGATTTTCCTGTTTCTAAGTACTACTTAGGGCCTGTTTGGCTCGCCCAATTTAGAGATTTGCACCATATAAAAAGATATGTATACAAATCTAATTTATATGTAATTTAGAATATACGCGCTTGTTTGGATAGCCGTAAAAGTTTCTTTTATACTAATTATAAATTCGTTATAAATCTAATTATAAATCTTTTTAGATTTACACTATCTAAAAATCTTAATAAAAGAATTAAACCCTTAACCTATTCGTTTTAAGATTTACATAAATCTCCGTATAAATCTTTTCTATCCTACGTACAAAAATCAACAGATATATAACAAAATAAACACACACCTTTTTTCGTAGATTGAATTTTTTGTTCTAAATCGCTCAATCTCTCTTACTCTCGTTTAATAAGCTAAATTCCTTCCATGGAGACTCCTCCAAGGAGACCTCCGGCCTCGCCTACGCCCCTGGGAAGGGGCTTGAGAAAGGGGGAGTACGCCCGATACCCCCTCTGCCCAACATACAACAATACTTCATCTCTGGGACTACCAAAGCACTAGAACGTGGTGCCATAGGCCAAATCTTCTTCGGGGGCACGACAGAAGCTGTAGACCACTATCTAAGTACTGCTCTTGATGGGGCACCTCCGGACCTCTTGCCCTACCTCAGGGCCTTTTGCACCCAGGTAGCCGACCTCAGCATAGCCTTCCACCGAACGTACACCTCAGCGGCCCCGCCTCCACTACCTTTAGCTCTAAGTGACTCCTACAGGGGTGGAAACAGCCCTACGCCCCCTACAATTCCAACCCCCTCTTTGGCTCCTAAGGGAAAAATTTCATACGCACAGACCACAAAGAATGCCCCAGCGCCTGAAAACCCAGGCTCCACTATAGCAACTATTACACTACCTCCTCCCCTGCCTCCTTTCACTTCAAAGCTACAGAAGAATAAGAGACCCCTAGCGAAATCTGACCTTAGGGTCTTTATACGACTATCTCTAGACTCTCTTGAAAGGAAACACTCTGCGCTAGCTATTTACCTTGCCCTCTGCGACCCAAAAATTGGCTGTAAAGAGCTTGTACAGGAAGTACTGTTAGTTAACTCTAGATTTGCTATTGTCCCCAAGGACAAAGAAGCCCTTAATACTATTCTATCAACAAAGAAGGCCTTTATCCAAACCCTGTTCTCTGCAGCTAGAATAGAGACCTCGCAAGATTGGGTAGTATTCCGCCTATTAGGGGTCCCTCGTAGTGTTGAGACTGTCGAAATTAATGAAAAAGGAGCGATTTTATCGACCCTTTCCTCTACTACTCCGCAAGTAGTAGCTACAGCTATAGAGGAGCGAATTGGAACTACACCTACGAAGGTTGACATGGCCACTAGCTCTCTCTCTGACGGGCTGTTCTATACCTCTTGAATTGTATTCTTTAAGGAAGAGGAAGCTAGGGTCCCTCGCGCTATCCCCGACATAACATCTCTCCTTGGAAGAAGAGCCTTCTTTAAGCGCCTCCCTAAAGTCTCTGCTGTTATACAGTGCTCTAGGTGCTGGATGTGGCACAACTCAAGGAACTGTGGCAAGAACCAACGATGCCGCTTATGTGGCACCACTAAACACTTTGAAGCTTTCCACCCTAGGTGCATTAGGCACTCTCAGTGTAAACTTAAGTGCCTATACTGTAGTGGCCCACACGCCTCAGACGACCCTACGTGCCAGCTTAGGCCAAAAGCCTTAGGAATACACCGTTCAACCGAGAACAAGAGAGCTGTTCAACAGGCATGTAATGAGATGCGGACAAGAGAAGGAGAGTCTCACTGTAGTAGCGTAGACACGGTAATAGAACCAGAGCTGTCTACTACTCCTTAGAACCTCCCCCCTCAAGCTAGCATAGACAGCCCTCTCACGCCCTCCTCTGTAATTCTCTAACGGGCTAACAAGTCCTTCGCTACTACTACAGAAGAGGCATACTACGACCTCCCTAGACAAGGATACATAGACACTAATCCCTCTACTTCATTATAAGTAAACAGGGATTTACTTAACACTACTACCTCTAAGTCCTACAAATCAATGTACACAAGTCTAGCGATTACCAGGAGCTAGTACTACAGCTAGCCCACATTAAGCGAGTTGATGTAGTACTTATCCAAGAGCTATATATCTACCAAAAGGAGATCAGTCGTTAGATCACAACACGCCACCCGAATTACGACTGCTTTGCACCTATATGTGACTGGAATATCAGCCCTCCGGGCACTCACTTTTGTACGAAAAGGGGCTAGCATCCTTTCAAGCCAACAGACCCCAATTGCCCCCTCGCATAAATGCCGAGACCTTGTCTATATTAAATTTACACTCTCCCAAGGCTACTCACTTTACATACTCAACGTTTACAACGCGCCTTTAGGTGCTAAGGGTGCAGGGGAGGCTGTTAGCCTTGTTCTTAGCTCTCAACATATCCTTACAAGAAACCTCTTCCTAGCTAGGGACTTTAACCTGAAAAGCCAACTCTGGCAACCTGACTTCCTTGGCTAAGAGAGTGCCCAGGCCCTCTCGCTCATTGACTGGATAGAGGATAGAGGGCTACAGCTCACTACCCCTCCTGGTACTCAA